AACACGCCTCAGTTAATAAAAAAGTGAAGGGACTGTATGGCATTATAAGAAGAATAAATCATTTAGTCCGCTTACTGCCGTCGCGAGGGGCAACCAAGGTTTGGTGATAGCACCAATGTCGGGCACGAGGTTCTGGAGGAAGAAGGGTTATATCCAGTTCCAGTGTGCGGCGCACACACAACCTGCCGAGAATGCCCGTAGGAAGATAGCGAGACTGAAGAGCTCATGGTATGGGTTGCCTTTTTGAGGGAATCTACAAGAGTTGTTCGACGTTATTCACTGGCGGGTCGAATGTCATTCAAACCCGCAATTTGAGATGATTTCTTGCTTCTAATGATTCTGGGCGGCGATTGCTGTGTAAGACCTTCCGTGATATAAGTCTCCTCCCAATCCTGACTGTCAGTAGCGTAATGGTGGCCAATTAAAGATGATGTAGAACACAGCTCTGAAACTTGAGTCTCTAGGGTTGACGTACCAACTAATTTTGCTTATCCCGAGGGTCTTTAGCTGACCGATCACAGCGGCCAATGCTCGTTTGTGCTGTAATGAACTTAATCGATGGAGCCAACGGAATCATTTACAATATCTATCGTAATATTTCAAGTAACCCGTCCTGCTTTCGTTTCGCCTGCACCGGAAACACTTTCTAGAGTCTGGCTGAGTGGGGCTAGAACGTAGGAAGTCCAGGTAGAACGACCACATCGTACAGATAACAATTTCATGGTATCGTTAATTCATCAACTTATCTTATCGGTCACGCATAATTTATTTTGGCCGCTGAAGCCCTTTAGCAGGCAGGACAACCCTCTCCTGATGGCGAAAAAAATTCATGCATTTAATTGTTCTACCCTTGGACATCCGTTCAAAAAATGGTGTACCCCCGCTCAACTCTTCCGGTGGTCTTTGCTCAGAGAGGTGGGTCTCCCAAAGAGTCGCAATGTTCACTTTGCAGGGGACCAGTTTCGGTTTGGACAAAGCCATTTTCCTATCGGGAAGTTTTGACCTTAAGCTGCCTACAAGAGAACAGGCACTCAAAACTTCCAGAAAGAGCGGTGTCACTGTGGCAACCCATGCGCAGGCGTAGGCACGGGGACGGGGACGGTGATTGTGTTTTCAGTAAGGTTCAGTTTTTATTAAGGAAAGATAGGTTAACGGTTTTTACCTCCGTGGTTCAAAGTGACTAAGAAAAGCATTGATACAGAAGAAAAGTTCAAACAAGAGTTTTTTTACATTATTGCAAGTGAAATGCGAGTAGTCACAGATGAAACGAAATAGTAAACATAAATGACTACACATTTATTAAGAGTAGTAAATACATACGCAATTTGTATGATTGCATAGATAAGCGTGTAGTCGGTGAATGAGAAGTGTCATGTATGTCCAGCTTGCTCTTAAATGAATTCACGCGGGTGGAGCGAACAACATCTTCGGTCAGAGTGTTCCACACAGCATACACTGTTACTGGAGAAGAATGCGTGTCCATCTGTCCTTCCGTTGCCTGGGCGTAGTTTCTGGAGATGGCCGTGCAAAGTGGGTGTGTTAGCCTGTGTGGAAAAACTATCGGTAATACAGCAACAGATTGGGTCCTTTACTCTTTGGAAGGTTACCATGCAATCCTCTCGTAGTTGACTGTAGGATAAAGAACTAGGGTGAGGGTTGACAGTCTGTCTTCATAGGACAGTGTTCGCAGATCTTTGGTCGGTTTTGTCGTCCGCCGCAGGAACTTCTCTAAGGCGATACAGTCTTCGACAGCCCAAAGTCTCCATGAATTTATAGTGAATTCTAGGTGCGGCAGCACAAAGCTTCCGAATATTTTGAAAGAGCTATCATTGGGAAGAAGATTCGATCGCTGGGACAACACTTTTTTTACGAATAGAGGCAAAGGTTCGCATCTCAGGTATGTGTACAGATTGAGAAAAAGAAGCCGTGTCGATCACTGGAATCATTTTTATTAGTCTGCAGTAACCCGGAGGAAAAAAACACGTGAGACCCGACATCTATGCGATCAGTTTATGCA